GTATCACGTTTGCACCGTTTACGTGCGGGTGGGCGTCGACTCCAAAACCAGTCTGGGGGGAGTCACCGTGATCGTGGAAAACACGATATCACTAACCAAGATCTTCCTACCTGACAACATACACTTTATGGGGGTGAAATTAACCCCTGAACTATTATCAGAAAACCAGTTGGAAACTATATCGTAATAGTATTATAGCAATGTCTTGGCGTCACCCCAACATCACGATTAACGACATAGGAGACGTAGAAGGGTTCGATCATCCCGGCCGGGCCCAAGCCGCGTACGTCCTGTACTTTGACGGCCTTGTGTATAGGCCGATGCCTATGGTAGACTTAAAGGAACCCGAATGGTTGGTCAACTTGACCCTCGCCGCACCTTACATCTCTTGAAACGAACGTGGATATGTCACCGGAATTAGGAACAACAGCTTCATGCTCACATCTTTCATTCCAAGTTATGATAAAATGACAGTTTCTCGAGTACATGGGAAAGGCAACAAGTTAGTTTCATCCGTGGAGTCAGAGCTAAGGGCCGACTCCCCCGATACCATGACTATGGAACCAGGCTCCACACTTATCATTGACATCTCACTTAATTTCGATATTCGTAAATCATCAAGCATGCAACTTTTACCCGGGGTGACACTACATCGACACAGTCGTTCATACACATCACTGTGTTGCTGCATCGTCATACGATTAAACCACCAACAGAAATTAATGACCCCCTTAATAGGAGGGTCAGATGTTAGCATAGACCAGATAGCACCTATTGACTTTTCCCGTATCTTCCTAAACAGTTATCTAAACTTTGTAGGTCTCAAGTACATTGATCAGCTATTAACTGAAGCTCAATTAAAAAATATTTCACCAAATATAGAAAAACAGGATGGGTTTGTACCCTGTCATGGAGGAAGTCGCTAAGACACTGGAAACCGTAGACGGGTTCCGCTTGAGACAGTTATGTGATGTAAAACGCCAACTAGAACAAGACCGCGACACGCGGAAAGCACTATATAAGAAGTACCATAGAGCGTTAAATGCCGTGGACGGGGCTGATACTGCCCTTATGACAACCAGCATGGGGCTAGGAGCGGCAGGTATTGGGTTGTTAGCTACCATCGTGGCTACACCCGTAGTGCTAGGCATTGAAATAACAGCTGGGGTGGCAGGGGTGTTAGGGTTGGTCCTTAAGTTTGCATCACGCAGACTGCATCGTAAGGCATTGAAACACGACGAGATCAGGGTTCTGGCCAAAGCAAAGCTGAACACGGTAAGTGAGCGTATTTCCTCGGCACTCACTGACAACAAGATCTCGGAGGAGGAGTTTCGTTCAATCCTCTCTGAACTCGAAAAATATAACAAAATGAAACAAGAGATTCGGTCCAAGTCTCGTAAGTCTGCCATCAGCGAGGATGAGAAAAAAAAGTACATAGAACAAGGGGTGAAAAAAGCCCAGCAAGCCTTTATTACAAACACCAAAGAGATCATAGGCGATTCACATTAAACTGTTTCATCGAGGTCAACGCGACATAGCGGCACAATAGTGTCATAGCGGCACGTTAGACGCAGCCCAGCTTTGGGCGATGCAATCCCAGGATAGACCCATTAAACCGACACACTTCAGCCATGTCCCCGGTAGCTCTGTCGGTTAAGTGGTGCGGCTGTGAGGTATACATGTGGGGTTCGTATCCCGCTAGTGTCTCAACTTTTTATAGGCCTGGAAGTTAACTGGGGGACTCAAAAGCAGTAGGGGTAATGGTAGTGGGATCAAGGGCCTGACAAAAGCTTTATTTGTGAAATAAGGCTTTGCAGAGGCTTTTGTTGGACTTGGTCTCATACCTCCATTCCCCCTACTACTTGATGTAATTATGAAAGAATAAATCAACATGGTATTTGATGTTAATGTTTACTGGACTATTATAGAGAAGTGATAAATGGCAAAGAAAGATAACTCTACTTTATTATCATTGCAAAATTTAATAGCTACATTTTGAGCAGATATGAAATTAAATCCAAGTTTATTTGCAGTTTGAAACCGTAAGCAGAGATTATCTAGTAGCCCACGGACAAGTAAGATACCAGTATTTGATTGCCCGAAATGAAAACTGACTTGTCCCGGGCGTCGGGTGATGGGATTTTTGAACCCCTGTGTTCTCTTTAAGAATGCTGTGCAGTGCTTCCAATAAGGATCCGCTGTTCGTAGATCGGGAGTGTGTTTCTGGCATGGTTGGGTCGTGTTCTTGCAAGAGCCGGATTTAGTTCCGCGGATTACTCGGGGCATTCATTCCGGATTGGGGTGGCCACTATGGCAGCCACAGTTAACATTGAAGACCATCTAATCAAGACTATGGAAAGGCGGAATTCAGTCTGTTTTACTAGGTATATCAGGACTTCAGAAGCTACCTCAAGGAATGCCCACAAGTCTATGTGTCGCTCATAGCAGTGCGTGTAGCAAGGACAGTAGCAGCTCCTCCATTGTCCTAGGACGGACATGTTATTACACCTTAACTAAGACATTGCCATGTGGTCTTTTAGGATGTGCTTGTACTTGTGTCAGTATCGGCATCATGTCTAACAAGGCTCAAACACTCTACTATGGAAATTATATTACTCGTTATAGGATGTGTATATACCTGTGTTTATAGCACACCATGTCTACCAAAGTTCACGTACTTAATATATGTTATTTTACTCTATAGTTATTTAGTAATTGATAGAAGTGTATATACCTGTGTCAAAGATCTACAACTTTTCTGACACATCTCACGTATTCTACTATGCTAATATTTTTTTTATCTTACCACTTAAACTTCCTATATTTCTTTGGGGGCTCTCGGTTGTACCAACCTCGTTTGGGCGTCACAAGCTACTCCATACTCAGAGCATGGAAGGCTTGTGGCGCCCAAAGAGCATTACTTAAGCAGGGATCGTCCGGGTTATCGGACCCCAGGACCGGTATATCCCTCTCACGTACACAAGTCCGGGTCCCTAAGACCCCAGGACATTTCAATCTTCCGGCCCAGGTCAACACGACCCCAGGGCCTCTCTCTACCCGGGTCACCACAACCACAGGGTACACAGTAGGCAACCGAGGCAGCCCCCATATTGTGCCAAACATTTGTATGTCAATAAAAGTTTGTTGTCATGTATTACCTTGTCATGTTGTGTTTTGCACAAATTCAATATTTTTCAAGAAAAAATTGTTAGATAGGACCCAAGGTGGTGCCTTTTACTATTTTCAGATTTTTGTTATTTTTCTCGTTTTCCATGGAAAAGTTTTGGACTTAGTCTTAAAGCAAGGGATGGGCTTCATTTCCGGAGCACAACTCGAAAACCGTTCAGTATCTTTCAACAGAACTTGGCAGATATATGAGACAGATCTTGACAGATATGTGAGGCAGGTCCCAAAGTGGTGCCTTTTGCTATTTGCAGATTTTTGGCATTTTTATTTTTCCCGGTTTCTATGAAAACGTTTCGGTCTTAGTCTCAAAAGGGAGGTGTGGGCTTCATTTCCGAAGCACAACTTGAAAACCGTTGAATATCTTTCAACAGAACTTGGCAGATATATGAGACAGATCTTGTGGTGATGCCTTTTGCTATTTACAGATTTTTGTCATTTATATTTTTCATGATTCCCATGGAAACGATTTGGACTTACTAGTAGTCTAAAAAAATCAAGCTGGACTTTAAGGAACTTTCCGATGCTTTGTTCTTTCAAATATGTGGGGGCTGGGGGGATATGTCATCTTCTGATGACTCTTGTTAACACCTGAAGTTCACACAGCTGATATTGAATATTTAAGAACAGTTAATTATTCTCTAGCCTCTGAATGTTATGGAAAGCATGTTAGTTTCAACCTAAACTTTGTGTAAATCATGCCATGGCTTACAGAAAATCAGCGTCTCCACACCATGGGTATGCTGGAGACTGTAATGGCCCAAAATGAAGTGGCCAGACATTTTGATGTCCATCAAAACATGATCTCATTTTTATGGAGATGTTTTCAACATAATGGGAAAACGAGAGATTTGCCTTGGACCATCTGTCCATGCATTACATCACTGCAGCAAGACAGCCACATTTGACCCATTTAAGAAATTGATTCCAGATTGCTAGTTTCACTGCTCAGACCATTCCTGTCTTACATTCCTGTCATGAAGGAGCATAACATCCGCCCCCCACGGCCTGAAATACATCCAGTTTTGCTTCAAAATCACTGACAGGCACATCTTGCCTGGTGCAGACAGCATCTATGGTACAGGAGACAAGATTGGGATAGTGTTTTGTTCACTGATGATTACAAATGGCGAGATTTCAAATGGTAGGGCAAGGGTGTACTGACAGCGAGGTGAATGGTATGCTGATGTGTTAATGTCGCCAGTTTGGTGGAGGAGGAGTTATGGTATGGGGTGAATCACACCTCATGATCCTGAATTTGTGAACTGACTTTTGACACCACATTTCTTCAAGGGAATGTTACAACGCCTTGTGTCAAATCATACAGATTTCAATATTATCCTATCAACAGTTCAACAGTGATTAAGGAAACACCACAAATATCATGTTAGTATCTTTAGGCAATACAAAACGACATAACATCAAATAATGCACAGTTACTTTATTCCATTAGTTTTTGTTTGCCATTTTCACATTATGGCTTTTTCTGTAGATATTTTAAAAGTCTCGTGGATCTTGTGATTCATTCTCTCATGTGAACACTTGTATTAGATGATAATCTCACACTGTGTTAAATTTTCCAAAATCAGACATGAATTTATGATATGGAAAAGGAAATTAGAGGCAGTGAACTTTAGTGTTAAGGTTGTTAACAAGAGGCTTGAGGCACAATTTGGGGTCATTCAGGAAAAAATGGCAAATGTTCTTGCATGTAATGCAAATACCTGTTTAGTTGTTGATATGAAAATGTACTAAAGAAGGTGAGTTGTGAGAATTTTGTCTCAAGATTACGTTAATGTGGTTTCAATTTCTTTCAGTGAAAAATGCCTTACATCACAGCAAGACTACCACAATAATCACCCATGAACTTGGTAGGTGTCCTTTGACAGTTTGGGTCTACAACGGACAGAAATTCTCGGAAACCTTTAAGAAGATTTTGAAGAAGAAGGATAGTCTTCATGTTTTCATACCTTCCACTGGTAAATATGTTTCCATTTGAAAAATATACATTATATGTATGTCCTTAATAAAAACAACTGTACAATTTACTTACGTTGCCTGAGTTACTTGCAGAAGTCCAGAGCCTTCATTCAGAGGTTCCAGTTTGGTTTATTCCAATCATGTTCATAGCAATGAATCATTGCTATACTTCTTTGTCGATATGATGTATGACAAACCATCTCATTGTTGTGGGTTGATCATCTTCCAAACGTGTGAGGCGCTTGGGTTATTCTTCATCCTTTTCGGATTGCAAACCTGTCAGACTTCAGCAGATTTGTTGTTCCCAACTACCAGTACCATCCCAGGATTTTTTCTGGAGAATGATTGAACCAAACATGTTCTTGAATGTTACAAAATTGTTCATCATCAAATGAATGTTGATAAGAGAAAAAATATATCCTAACCATTATATATATGTCTTACATATTCAAGAAACTTATTCTCAATAAAGAAAATATTATTTAAATTTAACATGTTTTCTTAATATTAGAAATGTCTGAAAATGTATTTTCCTTGACCTACATTATTATGTTGCAGTGTTATGTTCAACGACATTGTAATTATATTACAGTTTTTCATTTAGAATTCATTGGTGAGCACATTGCTAAATTTAGAAATGAAATCTTAACTATAATCTGGAATCATCTAGATCTTCATAATTTTCATTTATTTCTAGCAGGTGGATATAAAAAATGTTGTGCATATATAACACAGATTATGATACCCTTAAAACCTTTTTGGACAGGGTTTTGAGGTATCCTTTGTGATATTCTTCTAAATTTTGATTCATAGATAAACTAAACTTGTTGTATTGAAGAAACATTTATTTCAATCTTTCAGTTTATATGACTAGTGTCAGCTCATTACTATGAAGCAACACATCACTTACATCCTAAGATTATTAGATGCACTTTGTTGTGCACTGATCACCGTCACAGACCTTTGAATTCTTCTGTGTATGCTGCATATTTCTTTAAAAGTTAATCAACACATTTTTGGCTCATCTGACCAAATGTCATGTGTCTTCAATCATATGTCCTACGTTCAATGTAGATGTCTTCATCTCAGAACTTACTGAACAAATGAAACTGATGGTTAAGTCTTTCAGTGATTACACATGAAAAAAATAACATCATTTGTTTAGTCCTTAACTGACACATGAATTGGCACAGTTGAATACAACAAGAAATAAAGCCATGAAAATTGGTGTATTGTTATAGTATTTGCTATATCAGAAGGTACAGAGTGAGTGAGTGAATTAGTTGGGTTTTACGCTGCTTTTAGCAATATTATAGCAATATCACGCAGGGGACACCAGAAATGGACATCACACACTGTACCCATGTTGGGAATCGAACCTGGGCCTTTGGCGTGATGAGTGAACGTTTTAACCATTAGGCTACCCCATCACCTCTGAAAATACAGAGGTACAGTCAAATCCCGATGAGTCGAATGCCGGTGTCTCGAATATTATGCATAACTCGAAGTACCTGTCGGTCCCGACCATTCCCTGTTATAGTTGTAATCATTTGAATACCGGTTACACGAATTCGTCTCATAAATACTCACGATGACTCGAGAAGGAAATTTGGTCCAATGAGATTCAAACAACAGCAATCTTGTATACATAAGCCGAAGTCAGTCAATGAGAAGTTGATCGGTGTAGCAAACTGATCCAATTAACAAACCTGCACGGCTCTCACCTTTAGGCAGACTAGTGATTTTACGGAAATCACTGTCTGTGCTAATCAGACTGGAACTGATAAGGTGCCCCTATTAGTGATAGGGAAATCATTAGGTAAACAAATGCTTAGGTGGAGGAATTAGGACTGGATCACCTTTTTTCTACCCTCATAGACATACCTATGTCTCGAATACATCGATAAGTCGAATGTATTACTTGGTCCCCAGCGATTCGACTCATCGGGATTTGACTGTATTGTCAGTTTTGTGTTTTGATCGCAACGATGAAATGATGCAAATTAGTCTCTGTGTTATTTCCCTATGACAAATATTGGGCTCTGTCCCAGCAAACAAAAGGTGATACTGACTAACCCAGATGATGTTTATGATGAATAATAGATGTAAATGATTGATTTGGTAACATATCTTGAAAAGTTATTTCACTAACAACACTAGCATTAGCTATAATTCTTGTTTTTCATTCAACAGTTCTGAAAGACAAATGTAGTTGAATGTCATTATCAGATATACTGTTGATATACAGTTTAATGATTAAATAAAAATTCAAAATCAGTTATTTTTATGATGAAATAAATCCTTCTTTAACCCCATCATCATTCCATTTAGATATGTAAAAAATTCATTTATTTATATGTAATTGATTTTACATGTTGCGGACTATGCTCAAATGTCATGGTTTTGTAATGTCATACCAGTACTGTGTTTCTCTGGGTGATGACATCTGATCTTGTCTAATTCCTCCTTTTTCATATCACATTGACCTACTGAGTGCGGTGTCATTGCTTGTTTTGGGGGAAGGGGAGGGGCTGGTGGTGTATAAAGTTTCCCTTTCCAAGGCAATACCCTGTTTTACAGAATCCTACATAAAAGCTTACACATGCATCATTCAGGTTGGAAACTACTAGGGCTGCAACGAATACACTATGTGGCGAATATGATATGTATCATGAATATTGGGTAACGAATACGAATAATTATTCACGAACACAATAATTGTAGTTTAGTGATTGATGTACAATATGAACGCCCATGTTGACAGTTTTGATTTGTCACAGCAATAACCAGTGATCTCATGACACTCAAATTTGGTATGTAATAGTTATAGTCGACAGTACCATGTGAAGTCTTGGCAAACTAACATGACTTCCACTACTGCAATGCTAGTACATGTTCCATTCTTGCATATCTCACTTTGGAAAGGACATAAGGGGTCAAGTAAAACATGCTCCCTTAAAAATATTCGTAAATATTCGTTAATATTCGGTTCTGGTGACCACAAATAATGAATTGAATTCATGAAGGGCTATGGTTCGATTCACCGAATATACGAGTGAATCATTACAGCCTTAGAAACTACTTCCTTTCTATTTAGGGATATTTATTTTTGGGGGTTATTTTTTTCAGATTTGGTGAAAAACACTGGGCTTAAACTCAGTTGGAAATATGGTTTGTTTTTGAAACAGAAATCGAAATCTGTCCATTGATTGCTCAATAAACTTTGAAATGATTTCAGTCAGTTGGTGATCTGGTGCCTTTGCTAATTTTATTTATTAATTATTTTTTTGGACTTCAGAATCAGTTTGGTGCATGGTTTGTTTCTGAGGGCAAACTCAAAATCTGTTGTTGAATGTTCTGTAGACTTTACAGATATGTTAATGAGATGGTGAACTGGTACCTATTGCTATTCAATGTTTATGTTTGTTGTTGCCATAACAACAATCTGGACATCAACTCAGTCCAATGTAGAAGATCAAAGTATGGTCAGTGTTTCCCAGTAAGTTCCATCTGTATCAACTACATTAGAATATGGTTATCCCAAACAAAAGACTTACTATTTTGTAAGTTCGGACTGCTCTACTATACATTGTCAAATAAAATTAATTTATGTGATAAAGTCTGTAACCCATTATTGTGTATTAGCAAAATGGTGTATTATCCTGCTTATGCACTGCTAACTTATATGTTTTATTTCAATTCCAACCAAATATAAGTGTCTCACACATATATTCAAGCAAAGTTGTTTTGCTGCTGAAAGGTATCTCTTTTCTTGGTCCTACTCCATCTCCATTTTTAAGAACTTTCTTTTGGTGACATCAGTGGTTTTTGAATAAGAACATGCAACGCTTTTGTGTTTTGCATGAAGAACTTGAGTGTAAAAACTGCTGCCAATTTCCTTAATTGTCCCCCGCCGCAACGCGGAATGGGGAGACTATGTATTCAGCAGCGTCTGTATGTACGTACGTACGTCCCGATTCTTGTTTACACGATATATCATGAACTGTTGTACCCAATGTCTTCAAATATGGTGACAGCCTACATTGGGGGATTACGCAGACACCAGTTTATTTGGGTGACCTTGACCTTATCTTCAAGGTCACCATGGCACTTTGACCACTTTTCAAACTTATTTAAACAGGATATCTCATAAAATATTGTACCCAATGTTTTCAGTTATGTTGACAGCCTACATTGGGTGATTATGCAGACACCAGTCATTTCTGGCATCTTGTATGTGACCAAAAAATAAAAAGTAGTAAATATAGATATTCCATTCTTTAGCAGCGGGGGACATTGCCACATCAGTGGCAAACACTTGTTTAGTAATGTTTGATTTTTAAGAATTTAAAGGGCTAATGAACCACACATCATGCCACAACTCACAAATACACAAATGAGGCGATTTTGATTGGTCCATTGGATAATGTCTCGACATCAGGTGGCATAGCAATTCCATATTGCCACTGAAACACCATTTCAGCACTGTTGAGATGTCAGCAGAACGATAATGAAGTTTCTGATTGCCCACTTGACACAATGCCAAGACAGGACAGATGGATATGGGAGACCAATCTCTGATACAGGTCCCAGACTGGAGCTACTGCTGCTCAGACCTTTCCAGCACTTCGGCATATTCCCAGGATTGACATTCAAACATTATAAAACCATACTCATTAAGGGTTGCAATGGCTCTTCTGAAACAGCACAATGTTCAAGTACTGGCTTGGCCTGCAAATTCACAGAAACTATTCTCTAATGGAACTTTGTGTATGCCATGTATCCAAATCCCCAAGATAGCATAAATGATTTGACAGCAGAGTTACAAAAAATATATCATGCCATTCCACAAGCCTTCCATGCACATTTGATAACATTGATGCATTGGTGATGCAAAGCTGATCTCACTGCTCACAATACCCTTTATTGAAATTTTGACATTGATTTTTACATATGATTGAATGACATTGAAAATCAAGGTCACTCTGCATTAACTAGGCCTTAACAAAGCTTGTGCACATGATAACTTTAGTATTTATGATGAATATATTGTTTAATCTGACAAGTGATTGTTGTTGACATTTAGATCTAGTGACTAGATATCCAGATGAGCTACATTACACTACAACTATTTGTGATGCGGCATGTTTACATGCACACTGATTTCAGCATTGACAAGACTTGCATATGATTCACTGAGATCAGGCTAAAACAAAAGCTGATAAACCTTTTCAAGGTTCCAAGAAAATCAGTTTAAGTACAGATGTGTAAGAAAAGCAAGATTTATGGATATCAGCTTCTATACGTGAATAATACGCTCCGAAACGTTGTCTTGTTCACAATAGAGAAGCTGATATCCATAAATCTTGCTTTTCTCATGTATTCCACTTCTAAATGCCCTTGAAAGATTTAATGTGCAGATGTTTAGTGAAATTTTCTGAAGATGTTGTTTGCACCTGGCACTACTTTTATGCTTACAGGCCAGAAAGGTTTTGCATCACAATTGGTCACCTGTCTCAAAGACACAAAGAAGCTTGATGGCAGCCTGTACACAATGACTATTGTAGTGCCGTCAGAATCACTTTTTAAGGAGTTTTCTCAGCAGTCTAAGTCTGAATCGACCTGGCTCAGTTGTAAGTGTTTACATATCTGCCTGTTCATGTTTACAAAGAAGAGCATGTGTTTATTAAGAGAAGTCTGACTGAAATGAAGAATGAATTTTGAGTTTTGTTTAGGTGAATTTATCTTTTGCAGTTGTCTAATGACCTAGTTTCAACAATTCTTGTAAAATAAAATATTCTGCTTACTCCTTAGCTCACTTCATCACCAAACATTTCTAAGCATTGAATAATAATCTTTATTTATCTTCTGAACATAAACACCCCAAACAATTATGTTAAGTTGTAATATGTCAAGGCACATCACACTGAGTGCTTTTATGAAAGTAAATGGTTTGATAGATATTCTGTGTGTAATCCATCAGTAACATGTAATTTTAATAAACGCAAAATATTCAGAGTTTCATACATTTTTTTTAGTTTTGAATATAATAGGACTAAGAACTATACTGTATTTATATCTGCCATGTGAACTGTATCTCCATTGAATTTGTCTCTGTTCTTTTATTTTACAATCATGTGCACCTTTCAGGGATTCCAGGCTTTGGGACATCAGGCTGGAGTCCAGAAATGGTTGATAGGTCATCAATACCCACAGTTGGTGCCATCAACATAACTGCTTCAGACATGGATGCTGTTACTGGGGCATATAAAACAGTCATGAAAAAGATTTCTGAAGTATGTGTTACAATTCTGAAATTTCACAAGAACTTCTCCGAATAGCCTACCTATAACAAAGCATTTTTTTCCCCCTGAACTTATGTAGCTATGGTTTGGTGCATTATTCATAACAATGACACATTTGTCAGACAATGCTGGGATGAGCTGTTCTGTAACAAATTCATGGTCATCAGCTTATTTGAATATAAGTAACATATCACAACTTGGCAGATATCCTAGATGTGATCCAGCTTGTAGTATGATAAGACTATCATTCCTTTACTCCACAGGTATCTTATGACTTTGATTTGGATGGTTTCAGCCTTTGATAAGATGATTTCTTATATGCATTAACCAACATCCAACTAGACTATTTCAACCCCCGTTCCCTTTTTCTGGATAGCCCTGAGATACCTGCCTCTTGTAGAAATGATATCACATGCGCACAAAGTGACTGGTTGCTTAGGTGTTTGTGTTTGGAACCAAATTTCAGTTAGAATTTACAGATAAACCCATTAATATAATGTTCATGTTTAAGTGTTTACTCTAATTTCTGGATGAAAGAGGTTCATTTGATTCATGTAATCGTCAAATAACACCTTGTCAAAGTCTCTCTTTCATCTGTCAATAGTTTATCCTTATCATGGTAGACAATTTGATCAGTGTTCTCCTTAAAATATCATTTGCCTGTTTAGATTCTTGTTTGAAAACATTGTATTCATTTGGATGAATCATGTCTCAAGCATCCGTTGACAGCTTATTTCAGAACAGTTTCACACACTCTCACATGCACTGACACTGATCAAAGTACTGAGACAATGTGCCTCTGTCCACACAGCTGTGAATGGGTACCTCGTAAGGATGGGAAAGCCACATTAACTCGGTGCACCTAGTGGCTGCAAGAGTTGTATAGTCCCCAGGAAGTTGAGACTGATAACACGATGTGCTGCTGTGATTGACATACAATGATCGAGGAAAACAACAAAGCGCCTGTGAGCAGCCTAGCTGGAACTCGGCGCTATATAAATAGATTATAATAATAATAATAATTTGTGGACCAGTTTCCTTAATGACTCACTGAGTAAATCAATTAACAGTAAAATCCTAAACTCATATCACCAGTTTATTACTAAAAAAGTAAGCACTTCCTGTGATATCACCACAACATATATACCAAATATACTTTTAATTTGAGTTTTGTACTTTATGTTTGATTTGCAGCTGCGGTAAATACTAGGCATAAGCAACTTATGAAATCATACTTAGGACATTGTGTATAAGTGTAAATTTCCTCAGTATTATTCTTTTACTTTGTAGTTGTAGCGTTTTTCATTTCATTATGCAGCTTTTGTAAATTATGTATACTAGAGTGAAATTAACATAAGCCTTAACAGGCTTGTTTGCCAGTTCAGGTTTCTATTTCTAGGAAATTAAAATATTTGTCTCAACAGTGGTTGATGAGTTTGTGTAGTTGAAGGATGAGTGTCCTCTTGAGACCTTGCATGATGGGACAGAATGCGCAGTGAACCACCCATATGGTATCTGCGTACCCTGCCCAGTGGCCGTGCTTCTGCTTTGACTCTGAATCCCATTTCAGCTTTTCTATCTCCAGCAAAAGTACTGTGATAAACTAGGTTCAAGCTTAGATTTCAAAGTTGACTTTTGAGGTGGAAACAATCTTTCCAAAACATTGACCTGTAGTTCAATATACTCAATGTTAAGAAAGTAAGAGAGTTTATGAATAACAACTTCTTTATTATATATGATGCGACGTTTCGGAATGGATTCTTATACCGTTGTCAAGCAAGAGTGAAGTACTACAGCACAGAACAGTCTTATATACATGAACAGGGATTAAGTAATAACAACATGTAGGAATGAATCAAGGGGATTAACAACAACAACAACAAGGCACGGTGGCAATAATGTAGTGACAATAGGAAGCCAATGGTGGTAGAGGTAGAGACAAAATATACATGCTGATGAGATTAATTAACAATGATAGCTGAAGTGCTCTAATCTGTTGTTTTTATCAGTTCATTGTATGCAGAAGGGATAAGATATCCCTGGTCTCTGTTGATTGAGGGCTTGTGTCTCCGGATTTGAACTGCTTCTGCAAGTTTCCTTTTGGTGAAGTACTGGTGGTTTTGGATAATATCTCCACATTGTCCCAAATTATGTTTTGATTGGGGCAGTTGATGATGTGGTCTGATATTGCCGATTTTCTGTCAGATTTAGTGGTAGATGATAAGTGTTCTTTGATTCTGATATTTATGGGCCGGGAGGTTTCGCCTACATAGGCCTCGCTACAGTCACAGTTGATTTTATAGACAACACCTTTGGGTTGATGTTGTCGTTTAGAGGTGTTCCTGCCATTAGCTTTCAGCAGGGTTTTCAGTGGTGTAGAGCTGGTAAAGTAGGTTTCGATGTCTGCTTGTCGCTTCAGGAGACGGCTGATATGGTGAGAGGTCTTCCCTATGAAGGGGAGGGAGATACAGGTGATATAGGGAGATATAGGTGTCTAAATGCCAATCAAACAGATCATACTGAATGTTGTATCAACTTGGGAGGCGATAGGAGCTGTGACTCAGATGAATACTCAGAAATTGCTAGAACAGAACCAGGCGGCTGATACTGTTGATACTGGCAGTCATAGTGGAGGGAAAAGGACAAATAGAGACATATATCTTAAAGTATCACACAGATTAAAAACTATTTTCAAAGTGAAGTGATGTTAAGAGGTAAAAGAAGGGATATAAAACATAACTTTTCTAGCACTGATTGAATGGAGAAATGCTGGCTGGTATAACCCATTGCCGAGCCCTGTTTGTTTTTCCATTATCAGTAGGACTGCACAGTATGTATTGCGGTATACCAGTATATTGCAATATGCTTTTCAAATGATAATTATTCCAATATTTTTGTCTGACAACTGGTATGTTCGGTAAAAAAACACATACTTTCATTCACAATACACGGTTTCCTTCATTATTCAATGACAAAATGGCATACTGTAATACTATAGATTGTATAAAACAAGAATCATCAGACGATGACAAATCCCGCCGCCCCGCGTTAAGAGAGAAGCGGGGAATATACACTCATTCTCAGTAATGAGAGACTTTTGATGTCGCAGCTGATTGCATGGTTCAAAACTGATTAAATTTTAAAAGTCAAATACAATGTTTCGTTTAGTAGAGTTATTGTTCACAACGTTTTGAAACTAGAAAAGTCATTGCTGTAGTTAAAGTTATGAAAATGCCATAGGCTTAATGTTGCAAAATGATACGCACATTACCTGTCGTCAGCAAACTATTTATTGTATAATGTCTGGCTGTGACTAGTGACTACCCTGCAAGTTATTGGTTCTGATATATATCCAATCATGAACATTTCTTTTGATAATTACGTACATCTTTATTACCATCAAGACAACAAAGCAAAGTTTTCGTTCATCTTGAAAATGTCGCCAAGTTACAAGATACATATGTTACTATAACAAGATTGATCATATTAATATATCTATTTTTTTAAAGTCATGATTAGTAAAGCCGAGAATAATGTATCTAAATTTTTCCTTATCCTGACCATGCTTTTTGCTTGCTCTTTTTCTCTTTGCGAACGATAGTGGAAACACTTGAATCCCTTTTTGAAGCTCCCTTCACAAAAGCGGACGTAAAATCACTCATCACAAGTAGCCTCCCTTGCTCCTTTCCCGGGCTTCTCGTCACATGACAACCATGTTCTTGTCACTCTCCTTTTTCGCCCATGTGGGCGGTTGTGAGAGCACCTGAGTCCCGATACGGCATTAATGTCCTTTTTCTGTTTAGACCTATGCTGCAATTCTGCTGTATATGGCTTTAAGAATACCTATACCAGCAATATGGTTTAACATTTTGATCTAAATTGACAGATCTTTCACGTTGTTACATCGTGTTGTCAATTCATGAAAACTTGCATACAATGCAGATTACGTTTGTCTGCAGTTGATCCACATTCATTATGTCCTAATTGTACTGTCATATGTTCTTACAGCTCTTGCTGTCAGTTCTGTCTGCGTTTATCTGAATTCGAAATTCAATAATTATTTGTTTACTGTTCAAAGACTTGCAAAGGAATGGCATAGGAGACATTCTTAAGTCATGTCTAAATCGTGTGATAGTGTTAATAACCGTTCATTAACCACTGTTACTGAAGTTCATCATTCTAGTGTGTTGCAGATGGACGTCCCGGGGCAGGTCTCTGCAGTTGACAACTTCAGCACTAAGAAGAGGTCCTCTTCTTCAGATGGCCCCTCTTCGCAGACCAAAAAGACCAGGTCGTCGTCTACGCAGAAGTAGGGATCCTCTGCGGCCAAGACTTCATCAATGTCAACTCTTCCGAGATCCTTCGCCACTGACATCATCCCGCTGGACAAAGTAGACGTTTTTGACGATCCCCCGATCCTCATACCAGAGATTGCTACAGTCAGCAGGAAGAAGTCATCTTCTACCACGACATCGGCAACTCCATCTACGCAGACACGGACTGAGGGCCCTATGTCAGCGCAGACAACAGGCACCCCTGATGCGAGGCCAATGCAGACACAGTCAGTGCAGACCTTCAATCCAGGAGCCTTCATGCAGCAGTTCACTCAACAGATGATGCAACTGATGGAACAACGCTTCGCCGCAGGAGAAGGCTGCGGCGACGTCATCATCTAAGACAACCCTGCACGAAGGATCTGACAGCTGCACATTGCATTCCATAGATGGACGCCTGCATGAAGGAGGAATCATGCACGAAGGATCCCGACGATCTTCCACGGCACCTACTACATCTGGAGGATGCACCTGCATGCAGATGATGGAGAAGTAGATCTACCATCTCATCGACGCCTTCATACGTGGATCTACACGCAAGACTACATCCCGAGAATCTGATGTCAGCCGTTCACCTGCGCACAGGTCTTCAGGAAGGTCTCCACGCAGGTCTCCACGCAGGGCTACACACAGGTCTTCACGCAGATCTTCAAGCAG